AAAAATAAATAAATAAAAAAAAATAATATATATATATATAATTTTAAATTATGGTATTCCATTTTAATATATTAATAATGGAATTTATTCCGGTGATGACAAAGCTGAATTTTCAGCATCATTACTCCTGTCTTCAGTGTCACATGATCCTTCAGAAATCATTCTGATATGATGCTCAAAAAACATTTCTGATTATCATCAATCTTGAAAACAGTTGTGCTGCTTAATATTTTTTTATTTTTAAAGAAAAGAAAGATCAAAAGAACAGTATTTATTTGAAAAAGAAATCATTTGTAACATCATAAATTTCTTTGTCACTTTTGATCAGTTTCATGTATCTTTGCTAAATGAAAGTATTAATTTATTTGAAAAAATCTTCCTGAAAATAACATTTGACAATAATATACCAATGAAAACCAATGAGAAATAATTAGTTACTTATTAAATAGTCACTTAAGAAGCTACTTTCAGATATTTTTATCCAAAGAATATCTTATTTTAATATTTTTTTATTAGTTATGTTATTATATTTTAATTTATAACTTTTTTGCTAAAGTTTTTTACTATATTATTTGTTTTATTTTTATTTCTTTTGCAATTATAGCTTCTCAATTAAATTGGTCTTGTTTTAAGGATGAAGAAACAAGATTACTTACAGTGCATTATTATGGTCTTTGTCAGTTTGTTAATTTAATCTCTAAATTAAATCTCAGCGCTGTCTAAAGCAACTATTTTTTTTTTTTTTTTGCTTAATCTGTTTATTGAACTTTTGTAATAACAAAAGGATAACCATACAGGAGAATAGAAACAAATATTTCTCCCACACTACCCCCAACCCCAAATACAAAACTAAATTACACACACACACACAAAAAAAATGAATGACTCAATACATAATTATAGAGTGTATGTCAATTATGTATAGAATAAACTTTGAGTTAGAGTTTTGAAACAAAAAAAATACAAGTAGTCGCCCATTTGCATTGTACACATTTACATCAGCAAGCAAAATATTACAAATGTAAATGATGTGCATACAATGCACATACTTGTTCTTAATACACTTTTGATCAAAATCAAGCCACGATTATAAAATATTTAGTTTTAGTTTTCTTTCCCATGTTCAGTACTTTCATGTGTACATATTTTCGATTCTCAGACAAATGACCCAGTGACCAACATCTGCCAGGCTGCAGACAAGCAGCTCTTTACTCTTGTTGAGTGGGCTAAGAGAATCCCGCACTTCTCTGACCTTCCTCTGGATGACCAGGTCATCCTGCTGCGAGCAGGTCAGGATCCCTCTATTCAGATGTTAAATGTGTGTGTAGAATGTACGTGCCGCTCTCACTGTCGGTGTGTGTGTGTTTAGGTTGGAACGAGCTGCTCATCGCTTCATTCTCACATCGTTCTGTGACGGTTAAGGATGGGATCCTCTTGGCCACCGGCCTGCATGTCCATCGCAGCAGTGCTCACAGCGCAGGGGTCGGCTCTATATTTGACAGGTCAGGTCACAGCATCTCAAACCCTCCCTAGATGCTCATGCACTGGCCCCAAAATGATATGAATATTTAAGCCACACTTAAAATGTGTGAATGCAAGTTGTAACAAAAATACCAAACCATCTTTCACATATAATATTTCATCATAACATGAGCGAATGTATTGTATGTACTGATTTACCATTCATTGATCCCTCTGCATTTTCAAATAACACTATCCAATCTACTTTTATAATTTTAGGATTGCTTTGATTTGATTTTTTCCCCCTTACATTATTGAATCTTTGTAAATCCAGTCTAAATGCATAATCATGTTTGTAGGGTATTAACAGAGCTGGTGTCTAAGATGAAGGACATGCAGATGGACAAGACGGAGCTGGGCTGTCTAAGAGCTATCGTCCTCTTTAACCCAGGTAAAGACTTGTCCTGTCCAACATCAACTCTCAGAACCAAGAGTCCATACCATTTCAGTAAATCTAATCAGACAGATGTGCCTAAAAATTCATTTGACATTCAATTAATGTAATTTATAAACTAAGTTGTTGATTTAAAGTGTTACATTTTGGAATTGTGATTAATAATTTAAAAAATTATAAAAAAAATATAATATATATTGTTATGAAATCTATGGGACATTATAATTTTATAAGTAATATATAAGAAGTATTTAATAAGAAATTTATATCATTGCAATATATCATTTTCTTAATCAGAATATATTATGCAGTGTTTTATATAAAATATAATGATGTTTATATTTAATGTTAAATATTTTATTGTTGCATTATTATATTGATTATAGAGATGCACCGATTGCAATTTTCTTGGCCAATTCCGATTTCCGATTTTTTTGTTAGTGTGATCTGCCGATACCGATTTTTGCCGATTCCGATTTTCTTTC